ATAATGAACTATATATAGTACTTCTAAGTAAAATGGGCCAGCTAATAAATGGACCTGGTCCATTAAGCAATATATTAAAATTAGGCATATTAATCCATTAAGCTCATTTTTGTTAATGGGTTTAATGCCATTTTGGGCCTATATTCAGACTAGGCATTTGTAGACTTGCTCCGATTTCGTTAGGATGCTGCCCAGTTGATCTTATCGTTATATCGATCTCATAGGGGTGAAATCCGACCCCTACAGTTTACCAAACTCAAAGATACCATTGGCGTTATTCGTTTTCTTTGTTGGGACCAATTTCGAGAATGTGTGTTCGTTTGTTGTCAAATCTCTTGGTACTACATATAATGCTTGTGCGATGCATAACCTATTGATAGCATCCTCGGTTGTCTAGTATACATGTGAGACAGAGTGGTTGAATATACATGTGTGTTTCAAGAGATTCTCCTATATTACAAGCTTTCAAAAATTATATTGTATTCTAATAATTTCTTTTCAATATTTAGTTGTTTGAATTTCTTGTGTTCTTGCTTTTTGTTTCCGGCTCTCTACATACTACAATATATAGAAACTAAATGAAAAAATTGCAAGGATATGAATTCTTAACTTAAACCAATTGACAAGAATTGGACATGCTTCTATCTTTACATTTAGCAAAAAAAAAAATGCTTCTATCTTTGCATCTTGGTATTGAATCATCTTTATTTCCAATACCGAATATTCTAACATGCCTTCTCAAATTGATGGTGTTTTTGAGGAAATAAATTGAATTTAACATTTTTAATCTATTATATCCGTATAAATTGATAAACTCGAATAATATGTGAGATTATGGGCATCCAACCCAAAAGTATGAATTTGAGTAGAAACGTAAAACTAAGATCTTATGGTTTTTGTTCCATTTCTTACGATATTTTGATTTTATATTTTTTTAGTCTGTTGATTAATGTTTTGGGGATAAATATTTGTTTAACTTAACATAAGCATTAAGCAAACTGTCCAATCCAATCTTTACCATCGTCTCCCTTTCTTGATAGAACATTGGATCAATGCTGGATGACAAAATTGATGAGTATAAAAGACAACTACTGTAATTATAGAAATAAAACATATAATATTATTTTGATATCTATATTTAAGTTAAACAATAAAACTCATTAGGGTTGCTTATTGTTTGTTTTAGACTTAAGTTGTATATTAGATCATCATATTACTCGATCTGGCTCTATTGTAAATGAGGATCTATATATTGGATCTAATTATTTTCCATATATATACTATTACGATAAATTGTTTTGATGCACAAATTTTCTTGTAATATGCGAATCTATAACATACAATTATCTTGTGTTATGTTTTTTTTTTCTTCTATCTGCTTATAATATTAGAAAACAATCCCGCAACAGGACAACCACAATCCCATAACAGAGAAGCCAAATTTCAAAAGAGAGAAAGGCTACGAACGAAAAGCCAAAATAATAACAGAAGGAAACACCAAAGAAACCAAGCAACTAAATCTGAGCGAGAAAACCAAAACTTTCACGCGACATCCCCAAAGAACCAAGTGATGCAGTAACTACACTAGAAACCAAGAGCCATTAAACTCTTTTACATGTAATACACGAAATCATGACTCGAATTGTAGCACGTTAGAACTTCCAACAAATTGTACATCCATAATCTAC